TTGAGTCCAAAGTTTTGGAACAAGTTTGCATAAAAACTAAAAAAAAATTTCATGGGATACATTATATTTTTTAGCATTTTAAAGTATTCAAATCGTATGGTAAACTCTTTTTCTGGATTATATAGTATTTATTAAATAATACTAAATAGTATACTATTGGAACTTATATTCTCTCTAAAAGAAACAATTTAATTGTTACCTACACTCTTAAGCTTACTTATAATTATATTTTGGATTGCAATGATATTATTAATTTCTTTTAGATCTAAAACAACAATTTTCAGATCTGAACGTTTGAAGAAAGCAAATAAAGGGAAACATCTTGGATCGAAAGTGCTAAACCAATTCGGTTTAAAGAGAGGGAGGCTACATAAAACCTAAATACCTTAAGTTGTAAAGGGGGACGTTTTCTTGCGAGTCTTTTTTCTCAGATATTCTTTTTTTTTCTTAGCTGAAGGCTCCGAGAAAAGAAAAAATAACCTGCAAACCCGCCTTTCACTTCAAATCACCCCTTCCTTTAAGGACCGTAATCGCTTTTTCCTCAGAAATGTAAGCAAAAAAATAAAAAAAGAATAGGATTTTAAAAACAAAGTTTCAGGGGTTTATTATTTTATATGTAATTACTTTAAGTATTCTGATATTTTTGTAATCATGTTTCTTTAAAAGAGGGATCATAGTTTGTATCAGGTTATTTTTTTTAAAAGAAGAAGAGATTACATGTTGATTTAAAAACAATAAATTAATAAGCTATAATAAATATATATATATATATATATATATATATATATATATATAAATGTGGGCCTTGCCGGCTAAGGCACTTGCAATAGATAATCGAAGATAAGCGCCGAGCGTGGCTAGCACTTGGATGGATGATCGTCCACCAAGGAAATCCACGCTGCCCGAGATTTCTCCCCACCGGGTAGGTGATTAATGTCAAACTACTGGAGGCAACTCACACCGACCGGGCGTAGGATTGATGACCCTACCCCGTACTTTAAATCGGGAATCGGGATATGGTCTAGGAGACCGCACTTGCAGTCAAAGATCTTCATAGTCTGTAGTAACAATCGAAAAAAAAATATATATAGATGTTATATATGTTATATATAAATATATATGTAGATCCCTTTCAACCTAAATAAATCATTATTAAAATACACATATGTCGGTCAAAGCCCTATGAGGATTCTCAAAATGAAATAAATCTTGGCAAAGATAGACTTCGGCATTTAGCTGTTTGTAATTTATATATATATATATATATATATATATATATATATATATATATATATATATATATATAATATATATATATATATATATATATATATATATAAATTACAAACAGCTAAATGCCGAAGTCTATCTTTGCCAAGATTTATTTCATTTTGAGAATCCTCATAGGGCCTTTGACCGACATATGTGTATTTTAATAATGATTTATTTACAAATATCTTAAATACAAAATAGTTACGCAAATTCGATTATTTTTTATTCTTTGATTTATTAATTTCTGGATTCTGTGATCATTCAGTTCTGAAAAGTTGAGATTCCGCTTTATTTAAAAAGTTGCTGCTCTTCCTCAAATGTGTTCTGTACCTGATTAATATTTAGCAAATCTTATTTAAGATTCGATGTCGACATTGGCTATATACCTCACTCCACTGAGCTCCATTTTAACCGAAATCATTAAGATCTGATCTGTTTAGAAAAAGCTTAAAAGGCAAACATGCCTTATTCATCTTATTTTATTATTATTTTCAATCTATCCTATAATAACGTGGATAGAAACTGTCTTTGGAAGATCAATCCCATGACGAATTGACAAATTGACAAAGGTGAGTACAAATGATTCTGAATCCCTTTCGAAATTTATCCTATAGCATGTTTTTCCTCAGTAAATATATTTACTCAGGAACAATTCATTCCGGAAGACCTGAGGAGACTAAGTATTAGAGCTTTATGTGACACATTCATACCATACATGTAATAAGACAATGACAAAAACAAAAGAAATTTTTTTATAAAAAATTAGAAAAAAAAATAAGAAAAATTGTAACAAAACAAAAGAAAATTATGAAGTTTTGCAATGAAATATAAAATAATTCATGCGCTATTACAGTATGTGCATTCTGCCCTTTAATTAAATTATGAAGGACTAGATAAGGCTTTAAGAGATTCCAGTGTTGCTCTCACAGCCGGCTTATAACTGGTGTGATAATCCAGTGGAGGATGAAAGAGGCATAAGACTTGACTGGAGATCTGGCCATTACTAGAACTCCAATGTTAATACATACAATATTAACTCCAATATTAAAGATCTCGAGGCCCTGCCATTTCAACCTAAGAGGGAGAGGGGAGAGGATCGTAGAAATAAGTGGAGTTAGATAAGGATTGTGATAAGAAATTAGAGTGGTGAATATGCTTTGATGGAAATTTAAGAACTAAATGGAATAACGTCAAGGACATAAAGAGTTTTGAGGGCATGATGTATAATTTGTTTATAGAGCAATATGGTAGCAAACATCTTATTTCAATCTGATATGTCATATGAGAGAGGTTTGTTAAAGATCAGCTTTCTTCTGGAATCCATAGAAACATAGTTGTCTATATATGTTTCAATGTTTTACGAACAGATAAAGTAATACATACTGTTTCTGGAACCTCCACTCGCCAAAGAAAAGCGCAAAACTTAGCAGCATGATTTATAATATTTAGGAAATATTATTAGTTGATATAGTCGGTATCGAACCTTCCTGTTCGCTATAACAACAATATGAAAATTTCTAATATGGTACACACACACACACACACACACACACACACACACACACACATAAATGGTAGATGGGGAAAAACAAAACAAACATTAAACTCTATTGATTCACTGGCACAATTTCAGGCTTTGTTTGCCTATCAAATTCGGAGCAATGTTTTAAGGATTCGGATATTTTATTAAATTTATAGGATTTTCGGCCAAGTAAGGTTCCCAATTAAGGAAACAACGCAGCGTGTAAATATTTGGGCCAGGGGAGTTGATCTAATTTAATTTGATTGATAAGGGTAAAGTGTAAGTAATTAAAGTTTACTGGAATGAAATATTCGCCGGTTGAAGGGAGCCTGATCTGTGTATAATTAGCCGTCTAAATCCCGCCGCTATTCTAGTCCCTTTCTCCTCCCTCCCCCCTTTCACAAATTATACTTTAAACATATTAATCTTACAACATTTCAAAATTCATCCAGAGTTTGGAAAGGCCGATCCATCGGAGTCCCTCCAGAGCAGCCATATATCAAATTTTCCCCTCCATTTCCTCTTCTGGGCCGGCTTTGTAAATCATATAAGGTAAATTAATTCCTCTCTGGTATAAATCATAATTATAAGTTGGCCCATCGCCTGGTAGGCCCTCTTTCGGAGTCAGGTAGATGCAACAGCCCGAAGACTGCCTATTATCCATAATCCTAAAGACTTTCAACTATTTACCTATTGACCAAGAGAAAATTTCTACGCATAAATGCATCGTCCTATTAAAATTATTTATTTATTTTACATTAAATTTGCAACTGTGTTGTAACGCATCAAGAAAATGTGTTGTACTTTTATTCTGTCTTCTTTTATTATTGATCATTGTTTACATTGTTAGCAGATTTCCAGGCCAGTGCCTTTTTAGTCGTCGTCGAGGCTCAGCGGATAACATGGAGAAAGAAAGAGACAGGACGGGTGGGTGATTGAGAGTAGAAGAATGAAATGTTGTGTACTTGTTGTGTATGTAGGATTTTACTTTTGGTATGTTCGCGTGTGTGTGTATGGTGTGATTTGAAATAAAATAACGATTTTACGAAGTGTTTTGGACTGTGTGGTTATAATTTTGTTTACATGTGTGTGTTTTGTGGAATCCCGAAGTTCCGCTTCGAATGTACAAATAGATTTTAATATGGTGGTGTAGATTAGTCGTTTGTTTTGTAAGTTGAGTGGAGATCTGTTATCCAAAAGATGTGGCAGTTATTTGTATCGTCTGGTCAGCTCTTGTTTTTTTTAAAAGTTTGTGTGTATGTTCTAGGTTCGTTTCTTGTCCAAGTATTGTTCAAAAGCTTTAACATAAAGCAAAAGTCCAAAATAATTAATTTTTTTTTTTTTTAAGAAAGTAAATAGTGCTCTCGACCAATCTCCGCTTGCTTTAGTACCAGTGACGCGGTTGGGAGAGTAGCGCAGGGTTCTCCTGAAGTTCCCTCGCCTGCTTGTATATAGGTATGCATGTGTTTTTTTTTTTTTTCTTAGTTTTAATTTTCTTATTTTTTAGGTTATTTTATTTTATTGTCTATTGTATATACTTTTGATTATTATTTTGTTCTATTTATTTTATTTTTTTGTACATATAGTGTGAATGTCATCCTACCTCACTATAACCAATGTCAAACAGACAGATTGTTATAATACTCAATAAAGAAATTTTAAGAAAGTAAATATCATCGTTTAGGTGATTTATCACACTGAATTCCATTTCTAGTTTTATTTTTAACTCATATTGTGACGTATTGTCTTTTATAGTTATGTTATCTTTTTTAGGTATTAATTTGAAATCATAGACAAATTTACGTTTTAAAATTAATCAGAAACTAGTTAATTTATCTTATAGTCACATTTCTTGCAGTTGCTCTTTATAATCTAGAGCTTTGTAGTTATCTGTGGGGATCACAGATAAATCGTTAACAGTTACAACCCATTTCTTGATTCTTTTTAAGCTTAATAGGATTTTAAATAACCACGTTACCGGTCTGTTGATTTATTTGGATTTAACAGGGGACCATCATTCCAGACCAGGCGAACAAGGTAGAAGACGTCAAAGCACTGGAGGTTCATCAATGGAGGTTTTCTTGCTTTTAGGGGAAGAAGGATTAACAAAGAATGTAGATAAAAACCATATTTACCACATGAACATATTAAGTACATTAGTATGTTCATGTAGTTCCCGTAATGTTTATAATTGTATACATATAAACAAACAAAATCCTTCTGTTCCTCGGATCTTACCTGCTCTGTTGGAGCTCCGGCTGGAAGCAAAATAGTATTATTCAACGGTTTTGTTATATGAAATGTGAAATAATAGAATTCAATAGACAATTTGGAGCACAAATAAGGATCTATTGTCTTCTAATTTACAATGACCCGGATTTATTGTACAACAATGATCTTTAAATGTACGTGGACTTACTGACTAGAATTCTTCCAGGGGACTTACATCTCCAGAAATCATATTTTAGCTTACATATCTCCAATTTTTTCTAGTTAATTACAAGCATAATTATCTTGCATTCAAAAAAATAATAATTATAACTTCCTTGAAGGTCTCTCTTGCTTTGTGTATTCCTGAGTTGAAAACAAATTACTTTTAAATTTTCAGAAATTTATATTAAAACAATTTAAATAATTAATTCCTATCGTCACGAAATCTCACCGTAAGATTAGAGCAGATTATTCTATAACCTTTCCTTAAAATGACATGATTATAAATAATGTTTACAAGTGATTCGCTGTTAAAATTAATATTCGTCAAATGACTAACCAATTTATCATAAAGATTAACGAGTTTTGGAGGCGGGGCAGTTATTAATGCAACTGTCGGGACTAGCATGACAAATACTTCCACTAACAGCTTCCTTACAGATTAACTTCCTTATCTCCCGCTCTGAAATCTTGCCCTCGCTAACATCAATTTGAAGAAGTTTATCCAAAGTACCAAAGTGTATCCTTCATTGTAGGCCCCTGAACTTCAAAATGTTTCGTATATACATAATACTGTGAGGGCTGAGTAAGGTGTGCAACAGATTTTAAGCTGAAGAAACAAAATTCTACAATCTCATAAACAGTGATACCACTGTATCCCCTTATGTTCGGAAATTTGTTAACCGTGAATGTTTTTTATTTTTTTAAATTTAAATACAATGTGAAATGTATTATTTTTAATTGCATGCAAAAGAGCTATTATAATAGGTTGTTTAAAAAACAGATGTTACTTATTATTGTTAGTTAGGAAGAATTGTGTTCTTAAAACACTCTGCTTTGTAAAATTTGATAAAATATTGTGTTGTTTTTTTTTTAAAGTGCATTCAATCACTACTTTATTTACAAGTTCCCATTGTTGTTCATCTTTTGTATTACGAAAAACCTTAAGTAGTCTATATTCAAAATTAAAACTATTAAAATAATTATAACAATAACTTACTCCAAAACAAGGCGATTGTTAATTTTAAACACATTAGTTTTCAAGACATTCTAGTGCATGGTACAAATCCCTTTTTATCAAATTATTAACAGCTACCAAAAACTTCGTGAAAAGCTTTGTTACCACAATCCTCTTCTGGTGTCATGACGCCTTCAGTAAACAGTGCTGCAGCCAGTTTTATTTCTTCCAACCTCTTTAGAAATCAATCGTATAGGCTCGATACAAAATATCAATGAAAGTGTTAAAAAAAACAGATGATAAAACCAGAGACAGTTTTTAGTGTGATAGAAAGAATTACAGTTTTTGTCGCTAACGTGAAGAATGTATAATTTTACCTAACGGCATAACAATAATTGGGCCCATCACTGAATTATATTATCTGTTCTGGAGTTGAAACTCTTTTAAGTATTTGTTAATTTGGCAAGCATAGTTTTATTTTTGTATTTTTCCTTTGTAAAACTTTATCTTGTTTTTTCCTCTCTTCGATCTGTAATTCATTTTTTTTTTTTTTTTTGGAGCTGAATTTTCTCATTTTGTATAACGTTATTTTTATTTTATATTCTTGTTAAAACTTTATTACTCATAGCTTTGTATTGTTTTCCAAAAAAAAATTGAATTGTATATATCAATTGTTTATGTTGTACTTATTGAATGAACCTACCAGAATCCCTTGAAGCTTCATCTCATCGTAACCTAAAACTTTTTTATTTACGAAAATTATCGGAATTGGGGTTCCACGTTTACAATGTGGAGATTGGGAAAACTTTGTCCATTTAATTAGGTACTGAAAACTCATGAATACCCATGTGCTTTCCACTTCAATTGTATGGAAATTTGATCGCCAAACGTAACAATATTTTTGAATACCACCTTTCTTTTTTTTTTTTTTTTTTTTTTTTTTTTTGTTAGCAAATTATCTTATGATTCAAGTGGAAAACAAATGTGTATTCATTAATTTTTAGTACGCCACTAAATTAATTAATCAAATGAGAAAACGCCCCATTTATGAGAATTTTCGTAGATAAAACAATGATAGCTTACTATAAGATGAAGCCATTCACGAAGTTTTAGGCGAATATCAATAAGTTGATATAAAGAGGCAGACCTGTACGATATACTATTCGTTTCATACTCTAAAAAAATATAAAAAGTAAATCACAAACTGTTACATAAAATGTCTTTATGTGCCTCTAAAGTGTACGACGTTGAGTTAAATGAGTCATTTATAAAATAAATTAATCAAATGGGCATTTAATTGTAGTCTGCATTGCTGGTATCTAGTGTAAAATGAGAGTTCTTGCTACCAAATTGTTTTCTAGCTCCATGTTAATCATAGATAAGACACCGAAAATAGGAAATATTCATATGATATATTTAAAATGTCATGGATAATAAATAAATCCAATAATAAAAGGATAGATGTTGCGATAATAGAAGGATAGTCTTATCCTCCGGAAAAATGTTCCAAGATCATTGAAGATAGATGAGTGAAAAGAGCATCTTCTGCTACCGGAGTTGCCCAACGGCTGATATGACAAAATAAATGAGTTATCTCGCAGAAGCAGAATTATGTGGCTTACTCAACGAGCTACCTTCAACATTGCTATTTGAAAGGGAAAAAAAAAAATTATTTCATGCCCTCATATTTATGGAATAAGCATGCATATGTTATCTCTTTCGGTCATCCCACCTTAGCTATAGTTATTGATTTTGTGGTAGGCTGCCTGGTAAGGTTTGAAACGTTTCGTTTCATTTATATTTGATGTTTTTAGGCACTATCCTGTTGGTATGTTTGGCTTAAGTGGTTTCATCCTGTGCTCCAGCAGTAATGTTTCGTCTTTCATCTTTAATTGCTTATTTGGGGTTTAGCAGGACGTAAAACAGCTAAGTCTTCAACGCAAGTGAGTTTATTCCAACCTGGTCGCTGTTTGTTGGTTATCCACTAACGCGACAGAACAATAAATGAGGGACGTTTCAAGACCCGAAGGGGGCAGCCTGAGTCCATCAGGAGCCAAAGTCCTACGCGTCAGGTGGTGGTTTGTAGATGTTGGGAACACGAGGATTGATCAGAGGATGTGGATAAAAATCGTGTAAGTCACTTTAAGTACATTACTACAATCCAACAACGTTTACAATCATATAAACCTAGAAAGGTCCAAAACCTACTTATTCTTGGATCCAACATGCTCTGTTTGACTCCCAGCGCCTTTATAGCCCACCAGCACCATCGGATTCATAATCAATTCGTCTTTAATATCTTATAACTAAAATATTAATAAATATTTATTATATCGCTGATTTCGAGTTAGTGTATCCGCTATGAGAACCTCATATAAACACTGCTACATTGTATAATCCTCCCATAGGGGTACTATCAAGATCAACATAGAGTAAAAAAAAGAAGTTGGAGCAAATATGAATACTTTATATTTTTTTAATACATTGGTGTCTTTGGTCGAACTCCGAAACTCGTCGATTCTCATTAAATTCCTCACTGTTCTCTGTAATCTGCCTGAGGACGGGTATAGGCGCCAAGACACCGACGAATCCTTAGAGGCTTTATGAAGTTGGGGGCGGTTGGCAGTGATAGGGTATAAATTGGGCGGCGGGGGTACGTGGTTTATTTACAGAGCAGCCCACTCCATAACGGCCTGTCACTTAGTGTTCAGCCCGTGCTACCTGCCCTTCTCCGATGTACCCTCTACATTGGGGAAATTAGGCTCCGTAGTAAGCAATGATAAGGGTGTCTCGAATCTTTAACAGAAAATAAAATAAAATATATAAACAATAAGACTAGATAATAAGTATCGTAATAATAGTAAGTAATCAAAGCTAAGATGATCAGGATTGTAAAGAAATATAAAAACTATAATTTTCTTAATTTTTTTTTGTTTGCTCATTCAATGGCTGGTATTGTACTGAATCGTACAACCAACGTATGCATTCGTTGTTTTGGTGTCGTTGTTTATGCCATTGCCGTTAGTTTTTTTTTATTTACAATCGTGTGGACGACTTATAAAAACAAATTAAGGCATAATAAAACGAAGGAAGTTACAAAGATTCAGAGAAAATAAACAATCCGAAAATTGGAGTTGAACGAATAGTACCAATTTTATTGATTTTTCTATTTGTATGTATGGATAGGTTAAAAATGGATTCAGATTAATTCTGTTATGCCATGGTTATCAATGATGAACCTTACGGGGAAGTGTAGGTTCACAACGAACTAGTTTAAATGAACTATACAGAAAAAAATACGGTCCATATTTATTGATTTGACTATTTCTACTAGATCCTTTATCTATTCAAATGCACTGGTTCCGCAAATGGTGCAGTCTGGAGTTATTTGGAGGAAGAACTATTCTATTTATAGGAAATTTAAAATGAATGATATTATTGCTCCAAATGCAGACAAAGAGTTTAAGTAGCTCCTAAAAGCAGCTGTACTGAAAATGAGTTCTGTTATTTATGAAATTATTTCTTAAAAGGCAACGAAGGCAATGCTTCTGTCTTTAGACACACACCATTAACCTGTTATCTTCTTCTAAACGTTTTTATTTCCGTATGGTCACTTTGGAAGTTATCAATTTTAAAATATTAAGTTCTTAGGTACTTAAGTTCTCTATCACCAATCAGGTTACACATCCATCGTTGACCTCTTTTTTACCTCAATATTTATTTTACCAATAGGGTAAGAATCTTAAGATGTGAAGTTACAATCGACAAAAAAAAGTTGATTTTTTTTCTTATACCATATGGTCGTAATTCTTCTACCACAGTCTTACAGCGCAATAAAAGTTTCCCGATTTCGACCAAATAGTATCTTCAGGAGAGAAGTTCTGACTCATTTATTCTAAACGAGGACATTCATGTAAATGACTTAATGTAATAGCTGAGGATGTGTTGCATAATGAGCAATGAGGGTCATCTCTCACTTGAGTCCTGTTGAGGTAAGAATTCAAACAGTTCTTGCCAATGATTAATTTGAAACCGGCAAGCGATTCGTTTCAAAGAAGAAGATTAGGTGGAACACGACTATTGAGATCAAGAAGGGTAACTAGCTCCCTGTTTCCCTTCTCATAATAAACTCAAATAAATGAAAGGTGCATTTTATCGTTCAGGTTTGCTCTTATGCAGCTTTTTGTAGCAAAATATCTAGTCGTTTAGGGAATTCTGACTATGAGGAATTTTTTGTCTATGGCATCGGCCTATGACCCGAGATATGAACGTGCGATGGGATCTATTGCAACACCACGATTGGCCGCTTGATGAGAAGCTCTGCCGGTTGTTACGCTGATGACATCTTGTGAGTCACAGAGACTGCTGTGATATAGCAATGAAACATATTCATCCCTTTTTTTTAAATATTATTTTTGAAGTGCATCGAATAGTCTTGGTTGAAAGATTAGGAACAAATGTAGCCATAGCTTGGTGGGATCATGTTCAATTTCCTACAGAGACCCCGGCAATAGGCTATCAGCAGCTGGATGAACCAGGGATCATTATACTAAACACCTCTAGCGGCAGCTATGGCCTCTGCTAATTACCGTGTCGGTGTTGTTAGCAGCAGCTGCTAGCATAATCGTTAACTATACCTGTTATCCGAAGCTCTGTTAGGCCGCCGGATTAGGTTCTGTCCCGCTAAAACAGTCTCCTTGTTTCCCCATATAGTCGCTAATCGTTAGGCTTATAGGGC